CCCCCCCCCCCCACACTTTCTTTTTTTTTTAGGGTGTGAGGATGCAGAAACTTTAAAGAAAAAACTTTAAAGAAAAAAAAAGTTTCTTCTTGCAAGTAACCTTCCAAACTTGAGTATATTCTGTTGCACATGCCCTCATGTAGGTTTTCAGGTGGCCTGCATTCTCTTTTTTGTTAGTACAGTGCCTAGCACAACAGGGCCCTTGTCCCATACTAGATGCTAGAGTAATAAAATAAATATTTATAGTTGAATTGGCTAAAGCCCAGCAAAACATGGGCTTGAGGTGCAAGGATGCTCTGTGCCAAATCTCTTCTGGAAGGTCCAATCACTCTATGATGTCATCTCCCTTGGGATAGAAGCCCAAATAATATTTTTCAAATGGCAATAATACCCTTTTTTCTACCCAAACACCCTTCCCTGCCTTAAACATGGCTGATGAGACCAAGCTCAGCTCTCCTGAAATACCTCTTGGTCCTGAAAGTAAATCTGGGACACTTCTGCTGCAAACAGGAGCATATCAGAGAATCAAGGAGAATCAATGAGCAGAATCTCTCTTTCTCTCAGTTTTTGTAATCATCTCTGTGGCATATGCTACTATTTGGATTTTTATCCACTTTGGTCAACAGTCTTTAGGCCTTGTTTATCATTCTCACTGGACGTGTCTACATGTACCCGACTGCGCAGTACCTGTCGATACTGTGTGATCCTGGCAGTGCATAGGTTGTTTCTGACCCTACTGCACACTAGCAGCATCAGTTAGTGCTTGACTACATACACTACATCACCATAGCGACAAGCTGCATCACTGTAGCTCATTGCTACGGCAATGTAGGATCTCATTTAGATGTGCCCATTCAGACCTAAAGGCAACCTGCTGTTGAAGGAAATTAGTAGTGTGGCTTTGACCTAAGGAATATCTGCTGCGCTGTACCCCGGTGTGGGTTAGGCAGAGGTGCTGCTGATCCTCCTTGCAAAGCATCTGGTCTTTTTTTTTTGACTGGTGAGGCTGTGGGCCATACTAGAAGGGAGGGATTTGAAGCTTGGGTAGTACAAAGCACTTCTCCCTTGGCCACCTCTCCTCAGCTCCCTTCTGGCAGATACCTACTGCATAAGCAGCTCAAAAAGGGTTTTATTGGACGTGCTATCATATGTGGCTACTGTGAGCTGCCTACTAGACTGTCTAGAGTAGGCATGTGGTAGTGTAGATGCGATTCTGGGGAATCTCGCTTTCTAGCAAGCAGGGTCATAGGAAAGTAGGGCTGGAAGTGACCTCACAAAGTTATCTGGTCCTACCCTCATGATCGTTCTCCTCTCCGGTCCACACCTCCAGCCTCACACCGAGTCTTTGGGAGAGATGCTCCACATTCCCTCCTGCCCCTCTGAAATCACTGTGGTAGCAAGCAATAAGAGATCTGTGTCTTCACACAGAGATGATCTTCCCCTTGAAGCTAGACTCCCTAGTGTCTCAAAGCCCATCCATGCCCCTAAACACTTGGATTCAACGGGCTGGAGCCAGGTTAGGAAGCTTTCTTCAGTGTGGGGAATAATTAAGAAGCCCCCTCCCTGTTTGTGGGTGCCTGGGCACCAGGGTAGCTGTGGGAGACTGAACACAGGACACTCGCATGTTTTCTCCTCCCAAACCCTTTATTGGCAGTGGTTATTTCCAAACTACAGTGAAAATGGCCCACCCAGCCTGTGAGCTCCCCGCGGTGTGGCTCTCATTGCAGCAGACTGGGGAGGGGGTCATACACGATTCTCAAACTCTCAGCCGGTTCTGGTGGGGGATTTCCCTCCCTCGTGCATCCGCGGAGGGTTCACTGCAGAGACTCTGATGGCCATGGGTTATACGGTGAGCTGAAAGGCCTCTGTCACATGCTGCTTCAGTTCGCTGAGGTTCTGCAGTGCAGAAGAGAGGCCCACGATGCTCCACTCTTCTCCCCCCATGGCACTGGAGCTCTGGTAGGACTGCAGCTGTACCCCAGCCTTCCCCAGCAGCTCTGAGCAAAGGAATAGGAAGGGATACTTTCAGCACAGGCCCAGGGTGACAGCAGCATTGCCCACACACAGCACCCAGCTCCATGCCTGGCCCTGCCACATTGATCCTATCCTGCCGGGGCTTGCACTATAACAAGTGAGAACACACGATGGAGGCTGGTGAGGCAGGCCCCAGCTCTGGGCAACCCCAGGTATGATTTGTGGCAGAGCCTGCAGCCTTCAGGCCTTTCCATGAAGTTCCTCTGGAAGGCCTGAGACTTTCAGGCAGCCTGGCTGTCCTGTGCTGTGTAGGACAACTTTTGGGGGTCTCTCTGAGAGGCTCATGCATCTGCTGCATCATTTGTCTGCCATGGGCATGTGCTCCAAATATCTTCCCAGATCCACCCTGGCCATAAACTTCCCCCTTCTCTGGAGCTACACACTTAGCCCTTCTCCTCCCCACCAGTTCCCTCCCCTTCCTCATACTGCACCCTCTCCTCACAGGCCCCTCCTCCCTCTATGAGGACACCCTAGCGTATAATTTTAGCAGGGGTAGGTGCTCTCCTGGTGCACTGGCTAGCCGTGGCCTCACATCCTGCAAGGCATTAGCTTCCACCTGTAAGGCATTCTTTACAGGATGAAGAATGGAGGCCTTGTGTGAACCATGCTCATGAGCACTGAGGCCAGCCCCTCATATAGTGCTACCTGCAGCTTGACTGATTCCAGCCCTATCAGAGCCCACAGCCCAGCTGCTTTATTAACCCAGTCCTCTTCCAGAGCTGCAGCTGTGCCTCAGCCTTCCCCAGCATTCCTGTGCAAGTGAATAGGACAGGACATGCTCAGCACAGGCCCAGGGTGACAACACCACTCTGCCCACACATGGCACCCAGCTACATGCCCAGCCCTGACAGTGCATGTACAATGATTTTATCCTGCTGGGACTTGTGCTGCAACAAGTGCTAATGTGGCATGGAGGGTGGTGAGGCAGGCCACAGCTCCGGGCAACAACCCCAGGGATGATCTGAGGTGGGGCTAGAAAAAGAAGCAGCCAAGGTGGGAACTCAGCCCTGCCTCACTCAGCCAGACATGACACTCGGAGCCTTCTGGCCCTCCAGGGGTCCTTTCCTCACCGATCACTGCTGACAGTGTGCTGGGGTTGGAAGCCTTGGCTCTGTAGATCAACAAGGTGCCAGCAAGAGGAACCAGCTGCTTGAAGGTGGCTCCGTTGAGCTCCTGTAGGACAGGAGTGCTGCCCTGGACAGAGCCCACTGCTCTGCAGGGTGATCCCAGCAAGGCGACTTCAAGGAGGCCAGTGTCGCTGTTTATCTCCGGCACCTTGTTGCTGTGCACAGAAGTAACCTGGAAGACAGATGGCAGCTCAGTGTTTGGATGCCAAAAGCTAAGGTATGTGGGTCTCACATGTGACCACTATATTCAGTCACTCGTCCTCACCCTTCCCTTGAGGTAATTATGTCCATTGTACAAAACAGAGAAAATGAGGGACACAGATATTAAGTAACTTGACTGAGGTGATATGGAGAATCACTGGCAGACATGGAATTGAACCCAGCTCTCTTCGAGCCAAGGTTGATGTGTCCTTCTTGAACATTATACCCAGCTGAGGCTTCATACCAGTAGAGAGCCCAGTATCTGTGATAGACATGGTCTGTGTCCAGCAAAAGGGACTTTTCACTAGGGCGATCCACCCTGCACACTCCACAGGGAAGGCCTGGTGTGTTAGGTATTTGTCTTGCTGGGGGAGGGGTGCAAGGCTTTGCCCCAGGCCAGATGAGCTCATCTGAGTCACCCAGGATGAGAGGATATCACCAGGCTCAGGCTCCTGGTTCTGCAATGCTCCTGGTTCCCCTGGACCGCCATGGGGGGCACCTACCTTGAGCCCAGCCTCCTGTGCCAGCAGCAGCCCATTCACCAGGTTCACATCCTTCTGTTCTGCTCCTGCCAGCAGACCAGTCACCACAGCTGGGGTCAGGTAGTTTCCAGCATTTTGCAAGGGCTCTCCTAGGGGGCAGAGTGAATCCCAGGGGAGTTAAATTGAATCAGGTGGCAGAGCTAGAAAAGCACCCCCCCATCAATGTGTGCCCCATCCCTCAAGCACTAGGCAAGGCTTCTCTCAGGGCTTCTTTGCACTCCCCAAAGCCAAACCAAGCCAAATCCCCAACCTGGGAGTCAGGAGTCTCCCTGTCCTAGCACCCTTGGAGCTCACCTAGTGTAGAGACCTGTATGCTGCCATTCACCTGCTTGACCATGGTATGTAGCAGCAGGCCCAGGGCTTTAGCCAGGGTGATCCAGGGTTTGGTCTGAGGAGCGAAGGCACTGCTGAGAGCCTGGCCATTCACCTGTGGGGAGGAATTGATGATGGGTTTGGATATGGGGGTGGGCAGGAGGGGTTGTATCATGTTGCTAATATCCAGCTCTTGTAGCCTTGGAACTCAAAATGGTTTGAAAAGAAGGCTCAGGAGACTTATCCCCATTTTACAGTTGGGGAAATCAAGGCAAAGACTCATCTAGGATGATGGTTCTCAGCCTTTCTGTATTCAAGGCAGCCCCTCATAACTTTTGTGGAGGGAGCAGCACCCCATTTCGAAAACTAGTTTATTATAGTGATTACCTGCTTGGAAAGAGGCTGGAAAGAGGAGCAGCAGCCAGCAGGAAAGAGCCTGCACTTATCTCCTCATGTCTTTTCTCCCACAGCACCCTTGAAAGGCTGTCGCAGCACCTCAGGGTGCTGCAGCACCCTGGTGGAGAATCACCCATTTAGGGTGATCCAGTGGCTGCACTGGGACTAGAAGCCAGTCAGGTACTCCGGACACACGGCCACTGTGTCTCTGAGGTGCCCTTGGCTGGGCCCACTCACGTACTCTGACACGTGATGTCACTCTTTGACTGGCAACCTCAGCGTGTGACATCAGTGGCATCCGCTCTCTAGGAGCTTGTGGGGGAAGGGCAGGCCACGTCCTCCAGACAGCTCTGCCAGTGGCTTCTACTTTCAATTGCTCTTCCTCTCCCAGTCCTGCTGACCGAGTGGGGAGAGGGCAGCAGCAGAACCAGCTCACTCAGTTTCCCTGGCTGGTATTGCTCCTTGGTGGGGGACTCACCGTGCCAGCCAGTGCCTTCCCTTTGGACAGGTCCACTATCTGCAGGGCGATCTCTTTGCCACACCGGCGTTGTGCTTCCCGGGTGCTGGCACCCAGGTGTGGGCAGCAGATCACATTGGGGTGATTCACCAAGTCACGGTCCCGCGGCGGCTCCTGCAGACAGGTAGTTCCATGAGTCACCCCTTAAATAGGCCTACCCTGTTCCCTGGAGGGAGGCCTATTTAAGGTGTGACTGCTGCCCAACACCGCCTGCCTTTAGGAGACTCAGGCAGTATCTCCATACACCTCAGGCCTTGGGGGTGTTAGTTAGTGGTGCCCTCCTATTGCTCCAGAGGTCATAATGCCAGCTGGGGTTCCTTACCATTCCTGAGGCCCAAGAATGGCTATTGCTAGGGGAGCCACAGCTGAAGCTGGGAGAAAGGAGGGGAAGCGTAGTCATCCTCCCACACCCAGCAAGAGGAGATGGGGTAAGGGGGAACCTAGTTGGGACGTGGCAAGGTCCAGCAGAGAGTTGGAACATCTTGGCTCCCCCCCATGAAGGGCAGAGTTAAGGTGAAAGTTGAGGAGTCCTGCCAGCTATTTTTATGGGCCTGCACCTCAGGCCTGAGAGCTTTGCAATGTTTGCCCAGAAGTAATGCAGGGAAACAAGGGTTGTACTTTGTCAATGTGAAGCTGAGGCTCCACTGGCCTAAGCTAAAGCCACCACCACCTCTAGAAATAAGGGGCTACCTTTCCTGCATGATACAGCAACCAAAGAGACAGGACAATGGCTCCAGGCTGGGCATGGGGAATGGGAAGATTCACATCATGGTCTCATGATGCTGGGCACAGCCAGGATGAAGGGCCAGAGGCTTCCCCACCCACTGCCCCCAGTGAGTGATGAGGACAACTGTTTCATGGGACTAGAAGCTTTGAGGCTCTTTGCTGCCCATTCCCTACTCACCCACCTGTGTGAACACGTCTAGGGCAGCCCCTGCACACTGGCCAGACTGCAGCGCCCGGAGCAGTGCCCCCTCGTCCACGATGCCCCCCCGGGCACAGTTCACCACCTGCACTCCCCGCCGGCACTTGGCAAAGGTGCTGTCGTTCAGCAGCCCTGTGTGGAGACAGGGCATCTGCAATGGAGTTCATCTACTCAGTCCCCTTCCCAGCTGCACTGCCTTCTCCCTTTCCCTGTGCTCACCTTCTCCTACCCACTTGGGAATCCCAGCTGAAACAGGGCAGAAGATACCGCTGAGCAGCCAGGCCCTGATCCAAAAAGTTAACAAAGAGGCCTAAGGGAACCTACTGGAAGCCTTCCCCATCCTGAGCCTAAGCCCTGGACTACCTCCCCTTCAGCCCCTACCCCTGCTTAGCTCAGAGTGGACAGGCTGCTGCAGTGGGCAGCAGAGCTTCCGCAGCGCTGTGCAGAGGCTATCCTTACCTGTGGTGGAGGGCAGGAGTGGTGTGTGCACCGTGATGAAGTCACACAGGGGCCAGATCTGCTCCAGGGGCAGCTGCTGGACTCCAAAGGTGGCTGACTCCTCAGGCAGGATGATGGGATCGTACCCTATGGTCTAAGCACAGACGCAGCCACTCACTCAGGTAGCCGCTTCAGCCACCTTGGCCCTCCCAGGGTATAACAGGTGCCAGCAGGTAGCTCCAACCCAGTGCTAAGCAGCCCTGTTTGTCAGGTCAAGTGCTCATGGTGGGGAACTTTGTCTGCTCCCACCCTGCTGAGCTGAGGGGGCAGAGGCTCTGCTGGGGCTTCCCAGAGATGCAGCTGGAGTCCCAGACAGTCACACCTGTGGAGCCTGCTCCCTGGCCATGGGGGAGCCCTGTCACCTACTGTGCACCATGCATCTCTGGGATGTTCCTCTCCAGAACCAGCAGGTGCTAGGCCAAGTGCATTAACCCTCATGGAGCCATTCCCCTGACTGCTGGGGTCATTGAATCCTTCCTCCCCCCTCCCCCGTATGTTTGTAGGGGCAAGGGCAGCTTGTTCTCCCTCTTCCCACTCCAGGAAGCAGACTCTGTTCATCTGCCCTAAGGGGCCATTTGGCAGCTGGGCCCTTCCCATTTCTGGATTGCAGTTGAGGCAGGTGGCTCCTTACCTTCATCCCAAAGGACTGCATCCTGGTGGCCACTTCCCGGCCAATCCTGCCCAGCCCCAGGATGCCCAGGATCTTCCCCTGAAGCTCCATTCCCATGAACTAGGGCAGAAGGCAAACAGGGCAGTTAGCCACTTGCTACAGGGTAGATACCCCTCTCAGTGTCCTGTGCCCTGTGCTGCCACAGGGGTGGCACCAGCCTCTTACCTTCTTGCGGTCCCACTTGCCCCCTTTCATTGAGGCAGCTGCTTGGGGGATTTGCCTGAAATAATAAATTTGGTCTGATTCAACATGTGCCAGGGATATTTCCAGTTGCATGCAGGTTTTCCTCATATGTCTGTGTCCTCAGGCATTTGGGTGGAGGGTATACACACAGTGGTGGCTGGGTGGTGCCTTGCAGGTCTATGGCGCTGTGATTTTCTCTCCTCCTTGGTGCCTTAGCCGGTGCACAGCTATGGGAGGAGGCTGCAGCTGGAAGTCAGTGTTTGTGATAGTGCCAAGGGAGGTCAGCCTGGTACCCAGGGCTCTAGGCAGGATCTGGATGTGGTGGGTGGACTGGGCATCATATGCAGAGCCATGGAGTCAGTGGCAGTGGGCACAGAGATGAGTTCTGGGGTAGGGGGTCAGTGCAGTGTTTGGGAGCAGTTCTGTGGAAGGGCAGCAGACAGGTTCTCATACTGTCATGCATGGCTGATGGCAGAGAGCTTAGAGGCTATAGCCCAGGTTTGCCCATTGTGGGAGGGGCACCGGTGGATGCTGAGTGCTGTGCCAGGTGCTTGGGAATCAGGTCTTTGTGTTGGGGGGAGCAGGCCTTTGAGGCAGTGCAGAAGATGAGGAGCCAGGAGTCATGACTGTGCTTGGGAGCTGGTTACCCTAGGCTGCAGGCCAGTGGCTGGGGTGGGGTGTAGATGGACTTACGAGAGTGAAAGTGGGTACTGGTGGGTTCTGGGGGCAGTGTGCAGCTGAGCCAGGCAGTGCATAGCATGGAGGGGGGATACACTTGGGGACTGCAGCTGCACTTTGTCTCCGAGGTCCCTGGCTGGGCAGCCCTTTAGTAGTGATTGACAGCGGGGCAGTGGCCAGGCACCCAGCTTCTCTTGCCCCCATCCCACCCCAAGACAGTGGATGAGCTCACCTGGCCAAACTCATGATCATCCCACAAGTGAGTTCTGCTGCACTGAGGCTGTTCCCGGCGGGTGTGCTGAGGAATGGGCAGAACACACTGGGGTTAGCATGGCTGGCTGGTGAGGAGGGTCCTGTCTGCTCTAGCCTGGCCTCTAGAAGGGGGACTTCTCTGCCCTGTGCAGAGTGCCAGTAGCTGGGATGGCATTGTGCTATGGAGCTATTTGGCTTTGGGGCTAATTGCCAGCACTGGCCAGAACTGAATGTCCTGGAAGCATAGTCAGCCTAGAACCAGCCAGGCAGGGGTATGTGCGCCATGAGAGTCATGACACCAGGGACCTGGGGACACTGGCCACTGCTGTGCTGGCTCTTTCCACTGTCCTGCAGGCTGCAGTCTTTGATCTTGCTGCTGCTGCTGTGCCTTCTTGGCCTCTTCCAGCATTGCTGCCCCCAAACTCTCCCCACTGCTGCCTGGCTGGTTTGGCATGTCTCTCCCGCATATTTCCCCAGCCAGTCTCATTCCCTCCTCATGTGGCTCAGATTTTCTTGGCCCAGCTGGGAGTCCTATGGAGGCCCTTACCTGGTGAATGCCTCTCAGACCCACTGGGCTTAGTCCAAGGGCTGGATCTAACCTCTGAGTTTTGTGTCAGATTCAGGCACATTTCTGGGTCAGCTCTAGGCTGAACAGAGCCCTGCTCACCCTCCCATAGACCCCTCCTGATCCAGGGAGCCCAGCCAAGATGACTCTGCCAGCTCAGAGAACAGGATTCCTAAGGGAACAGGCCACTCCCTGTTTCTTCCCTTGGCCCTTTCCTATACTGATGGGCAGGGAATTGTCTATGCCCCCAGGTACCTGTAGGTGGGTGGCACAGGTGCCCCAGGCACACAGAGGCTCCCCCTCATGTGCACGTGTGGCAACTGTATGTACACTGGCCCTACATGCAAGCCACCAGTCTCAACTCTGCCCTTCCTTTCCCCCTCACTCCCCAGCTCAGTACAGTCCACCCCACTGTGGTCTAGTCATCCTGTGCCTCAGGCAGGCCAAGGCTGTTTTGCCCCAGCCTGAACTGTGCTCTTACTTCATCACCAGGATGCCCTTCCTTGTCGCTGCCTCCACATCCACATTGTCAACTCCAGTGCCAGCCCTGCCAATGACTTGCAGCCTCTCAGCTGCATGGATGATGTCCGTGGTCACCTTGGTCGCTGAGCGGACAATGAGCACATCACAGTCCTGCAGGGACCAGGGGAAGAAGTAAGAGGAAGGTGGGCAGAGATGCAGAAGATGTCCACAACCCACAGCTTTGCTCCAGGACCTAAATGTCTCCCAACCTTTTCGCTCCCATTACCCGCCACTCCTCACGTGCACTCAAAGGCCTTATCAGGCTGTCTTGGTCACCAAAATGGACCAGTAGCATCGCATAAACCAGAGCACCTCGCCTGGGGATTGCTGCATCCAGCCTGGTGCTTGCGGTGCAGCTAGAGGGTATGAGAAAGGACACCCAAGCTCAGCGAAGAGAGGTCAGGTGTGGATACCCCTCACATCTGGCCCCAGGTGAGGTGCTCCCATGATCACTTCTTAGCATGTGTGCCTTATTTCCAGTCCTCCCAGACCATCCACTGGGTCTCTCTGCTCCAGGCAGTTGGGCAGGGATGCTCCTCCCTGCCCCCATCACCCATAGGCTGGTTGGGGATCTTTGGCCCTTTTCTGGAGGTAGGAGCCCCAGGTTCTCCTATCTTATGATCACCCCCTCTCTCCCCATAACTGGAGTCCCAGCTCTTCCCTGGGGCCGCTCTCCCCGGCTCCCCAGTAAGTGCTCTCCCCAGGCAGCAGGTCCTTGAAGTGCACCTGGAGCCCAGCAGCATGGCACTGAATCCCACCCCAAGCAGCAACCCTATAGATCACCTAGGATTTGGACTTGTACAATGCCGGGTTTTATGAGGAATCCCATCCCATGTAGCATGTCTGAGGACATGAAGCAACAGAGGAACAAGGTTTACCTTTTTCAACCCAAGCTTTGAGCAATTGCACAAGGAGCTGCTCAGAGCCTGCCTTCTGTTCCCCCTGAGGGAGGTACATGGGCTTTGATTCACAGATGAGTGAAAACAACCAGCCTCTTGCATCAGACGGGAGGCGGGGACTGGACCCGGCATGTGCAGCTGGGCCCCCTTCTCCCCGCAGCCAGCTCAGCAGCCTGGGAACTGGTGCTGGAGTACAGCCAGGACTTGCTGGACTGCCCGGTGCTAGTGCCTTTGTACAGTGGGCTGATGGAGCGCTGGCTGGCACCCAGGAACAGCCAGATGCCCCTGCCCCGCTGGCACCCAGCATCACTGCACAGTAGGAAAAGAGTGCTTTCTAGGTCCCTCAGCACCCACCTGTGGTGCCCCAGAGCTGCTGCCTGCTACAGCAGCCCAGGGTCTGCATCACCCCTTGGCATCCTTGCTTCTGGGGGCACCTCACCTTGACCTGTGTCAGGAGCTCCTCTTTGCTGAGGTTTGGCTTCTCCAGGACCTGGAGGCCTCCAGCTTGCAGGATCTCCCTGCAGCAGGGGTCCAGGCTATCGCTGATCAGCACGTTACTTAGCTTTGCCAGGGCCATTGCAGGCGGGGGCTGCGCTGCCTGCCTCTGTGCAGAGCTACACCATGCAAAGAGGCTGTGTTTTGCAGCCGGCGTGAGCTAAAAGGACTGCAGACTTGGCATTTTTTCCTCGCTCTTTCCTTTCATTGGATCAAAGCTTCTCAGATTTCCATAATCCCACCTCCTTCCCCCGCCTTCTCCCTCCTCCTCCCCGCTGCTCTGTCTTTGTAACTTTCCCATCACCAAAAAAACTTTTTCTTCCCCTGAACAAAGAATTGGCTTGATCTGCCAGGGGGCAGATCCAGGCTGGTGGGGCTTCCCTGAGGCTGCAGCTGTGGGTAGGGGAGCAGTGGGACAAAGCTGCTGTGGAAGGAGCCCTTGAAAGCAGGCTCCCTCCTGCCCCAGAGCAAGGGGGCAGCCTGTTCTGTGGTGCCTTGTTCTCCCCTCTCTCTTAGCAAAGCAAAGCAGGGACCAGCAGAAATGATTCTGCCCCCCATTAGAATGATTTTGCACCTGCCCATCCCAGCTGCAAAAACCCAGGTGAGGAGCAAAGCAGAGGTGCCTGGAGCTAGACGTCCTTTCCCCTCAGAGATAACTTGTGGGCTGGGGGCTGAGCAGCCCTTTGCCAAGCAGGCAGTCTTGTCTTCCTGCTGCCATCTTACTGTGTCGCTTGGCCAAGCTTCCTGGGCCTCAGTTTGTCTGTCTAGATAGTGGGGGCAATTTGGCTTCCTTCTCTCCCTCCTGGGGAGGCTGTGGTAGCAAGTGTTTGGGAAGGGCTTTGAAGTAGTCCTGCAAAGAGCCCCCTATGAGCTGGCCGGTGTTCTCTTTGCAGGGCCTGAGTCTACACTTTTGGGTGCCCATTGGGCAGGGATTTAGTGTTAAGCAGCCTGCACACTTCCAAGTTCACTTGCTCCAGGGAGTCCACTGGTCCTCTCCAAGGCAGCTGGAACGCAGGTCCCGGGAGTGGAGAACGCTCAGCAGACAGATTCCAACCCCAGCTGCATCGCGGGAAAATGGGAGTAGCTGCATTGAAGTCAACAGTGTTCATCCAGGTCAGGAACCAGCCCTGTCCCTGCACTTTGCTGCCAGGCCCTTTTTTAAGGCAAGGCAAGTGGTTAAGGATTCACAAGTCATAGCCACGCCAATCTTAGCCTCACTGCTGAAAGGGCCAGGAGCAGATTAGGGTGCCCTGTTTTCCCAAATAATTTCCCCCTTCCATCATACCCAGGAAAGACTTGTGTATTCATGGCCCCTGGCTGTGGTGACAAAGCAAGTTCCACGTGAAGGCAGAAAGGGGCCCTGGGGACTCAGCAAAGAAGGCACTCATCCGTCATCTCTGACATTGCGCGTGCAGGTGAGTTGCACAAAGCAAATAGGCCTTCGGGCCAGATAAGGACCCACATGATGGACCAGTCCCAGTCACTGCTCAATCACTTTGGGACATCAAGGCCAGCAGGGAGATCTTGCATCATGTGCTTTCAATTGGGCAGGGCACATGTGCAGTCCATCCAGTGAATGCCCTCCTCGCTGATAAAAACCACATGATGTCGTGGTTGAGCCTGGTTACCACTGTGGAAAATAAGCCCCTTTTGAGATCTGCTGATCATGAGGTCTGTATGGCCCTGCACAGGAGAACTGAGGGGTTATGATAGACAGGCAGATGGACAGAAGCCGTATTCACAAGGTTTAAATACATGTTGTTTCTTTACTGGACTGTAGCAACTGACATGGCATTCTTGTACATAGGGGCCTGATACTATGTCACCTGCAAAGCACCCGTTCGCCATCTAGTAAGCGCTCATGCATGTGGAGTCCCAATGGCAACCAGTGGGATTCCTCCCATGGGTAAGACTTTGCGCATGTAAGCACTGCTAGGATTGAAGCATGTTGAAATGGGGAAGAAGCACCTGAAGGGAATGGCTGAAACATGTCCAGGCCTTTTAAAGAGAACTCAGATCTGCTGGCTGTGTGGCTGCAAGCTTGTTAATTCAATGGCCTTGTCACATTTAAATCTGGACCTTCTAGTAAAGTACTCCCTGCTTCTTTATTTTAATGTATATGAATTTTCACCTGTGGATGAGATTTTTTCAGTGTTGCCAACTCTGGGGAGTCTATTGAGTCTCCCTACCGTTGAGGTGTATTGCAAAGTCCCAGCATCTGGAGTCATGTGAATATGGGATAATTTCAGCTCTCATTTAGAACACCAAAGTCTAGTCTTCAAAAATCTTCCTCTGAGAGGCTTTGGAATTACAAAGCCAAGAACCCCAAATCCTGCAGAAGGACCATACACAACTATGGTAGCCAGTGAGGTCTGTATCCTTTGATCTGAAAGAGGCAATGAGCAATATTGTGAGAGGATTTTTCCTGAATTTTTTTAAGAGATTAGATAAAGACTTGTCAAAGATGGTTTGGATAGGGATGATCTTGCTTTGAGCAGGGACTAGAAGACCTCTTTGAGGTCCCTTCCAGCCCTATTTGTATATGATTCTATGATCAAGCCTATCTCCTTTCACTGCTTGCTGTTTTTGGTAGCAGGCCTTCCGCTTTGGGGAGGGCTGTTGCTCTGAGCAGACAGGAGCACGGTATCATTCTACTGCCACTTCCTTCTGGCATAGCCATTGTCTGATAGCAAATAGTCATTACAATGTGTAACATCATCACTGCTTACACCTGGATTGTAGTAGTACCAAGGAGCCTCAGACATAATCCTGGATGCCACTGCACCAGATGCTATGAAAACCAGAGGAAAGAAATAGTCTCTGTCCCACCGAGCTTGCAGGCTAAGTTCTTGGGACCTACATGAGCTAACCTCCAGGTACTATAGACATGGTCCCAGTTTGTCCCCAGTTGGGTTGTAGCAGTTTAAGTGGAGATGGGATTTGCGGACAATGGGGTTGTCAGCGTGGCCGTGCTCTGGAGGGTGACATGTGTTATTGACACATGGCTCATCAGGGAGTCCCACTTGCTTTCCCAGAACAGTTGTGCTGAGCCTGCAGGGCTGACAGGCACAAAAACTGGGGCCAGCATTTCCACAGGCGAGTGCACCTCAATCATTTGTGGTTCGTGCCTTGCCAAATGGCTGGAATTTCAGCAAGGCCAAGGGCTGCAATCCTTGCAGATGTCAGTGGCAGCAACAGCCCTGGCCCTGCCGCATAGCAGGCCACTAAGTCAGGTCAGCTAAGTTTAAAAGCGCTGGTTGTCTGCTGACATGCTGCAAAAAGGTCTGCCTTGTAAGCCACGCTGCTGTATGAGAAGGGATATTTGGAGTATAGTGAGGGCAGAGGGGTGTTGTCCCCCACCCCAGCTCTCCAGAAGCTGTCCAACACCCATAGCAGCTCACTCATGAGCTTGAGGAAATGCCTTACAAGCTAAAAGACACTGGAGGCCTTTTGTCTCCACCTTCTCTCCAAGAAATGGTATCTTGAGCACTACAGAAACTGCTCTTACACAAAGCACCAAGAAGACCTTAAGGCTCCACTCCTTACCCCGTGGCCCCTCCTTTCACATAAAGGCTACACATGACTGTCACTTCAAGGATCTACCGTTGCAGTAGGTAAAGGCAGGACTGTGGTAGGGCTGTCCATGAATTCTAAGAGTGCAACCTGTGTTGCTCCTGAGTGCAATCTTGCGGCTCAGCCCTCTGAGGGCGACTGCTCCTATTGCTGGGGCTACTGTGTAAGCTTTTGATAATTCAGTGAGCATTCTTCCCCTGGCCCCCAGGGGCTGATAAGCTGAGTGTCTTTGCAAGATTCTTGGTGGTTTATACACCAAGATTGTTATGAAAGGCCAAATGGGTTCCCCTATTAGGTATTCTATGGAGCAGCAGCTCCAGGGTGCCTATACATGTGCTCCAACATGTTCTGATTAGACTGCATCAGAGCAGACTCAATTAATGCCCTCCCCCCTGCCATTTTGAAACATGGGACACTGAATACATGAGAGGCTGATGGCATTTTTTAATGAAGAATGGCCCCCTGGTGCATGTGTCTAGGCACCTATTGTGAGGGTGGTAAAGCATAGGAACAGTTCACCTACAGTGGTTGTTTAAATGCAGGTTAGACAAACACTTGACTAGGATGATTTTCAGACAGGGAGGATCCTGCCAAAAGGGTTTGGACTTGATGACCTCCTGCTTATAAAAACATTGAGAGCCCTGTTTTTCTGTAGTACTATGTTTATAAAGCAGGTTTGTCCCGGCTCCCAGAAATCTCAGTGGGAGTTTTGCCACAGATGCCGAGAGAAGCCGGGCTGGGCTCCTTATTAGCTGGGTGTTGGGCTGCAGAGGTGCTATGTGGGGTGGGAATATGTCCCAGCCAGGAGAAGGTACAGCTGGGTGGCTGGAAGCAGGATGGAGAATCACACTGACTATGTAGTGATGCCGTTATATAAGCTAGTATGATGCACTTTATGGTTAGGGACAGACATTCAAAAAGCCTGAGCCTGAATTGATTCAGTCTTTGCAAGTTAGTCTAAACTGGCTAGGCTAAACCAGTTTTGTAACTGGACAGACATCCCAGAAATGTAGGCACATGTCTGCAGTGGCTCAGGCTAGAAGTCTGGGGGCACTAGAGCAGCCCTCCCTTCCCTTGCACAGAGTTGAGCTGAGGGTGGGTCATGGCCAGGCTTGGGCAGGACACTGTGATTAGCCCAGCAGGGAATTAATAACAGTGTTTATCACCCAGTTAAGAAAAGAACAGAGGTACATTACCAGCTATTTGTTGATTCTGCCTGTTGATTTAGCACCCACCATAGCTAGCATGTGGTCTGCTGCCTAATACACAGACACCTCCTCAGCAAAGCAGAGGGGAGGGGGAATTCCTGCTTAGTAGGGAGTGGTGAGGGGGAGTGGGGTGCACTGCAGCTGGAGAGCAGAGGGAAGGGGCCAGCCCTGCTGTGGAGCAGAGAGCCCTGCTCAGCCCAGAGAGCATGCCAGGATGCTGGTGAGTCTGGTTTATCTTAAGCCGGCAAGCGGTCTGGGGCAGCTATTGCATAAACTGGTTTGACCCAAATCTGTTAAGTTTGATACTACATTCAACTAGGTTTATTTCAAACTGGTTTCAGCCATTTTCAAATTGGTTTATGTGCACAGAACATCTGTTGTATGGGTAACCCATTCTCAAACAGAACAAGGCAGAAAGAGAAGGACCTACACCAAAGAGACAAACACCATCTGAGGCCTGGGAAGACTGGAGACCCTGTGACTGCAGCTTCCAATGGAGGGAAGTGAGAGGTATACAGAGCAGTTCCTAGCCTACAGCAGATAAGTACTGTGCTCCTAGTCACCTTTCCCAGTGCAGGAATCAGGGGAAGTCAACGAAATTGAAAGGGGACACATTCAACCTTGAAGAAAGGGAATGGTCTTTCCATAAAGCATGGTTAGTCTGTGGGACTCACCGCTACTAGATCTCACAGAGCACTAGACTTTTATAGGAGGGACGAGACCATCCACAGCTACACTGACCCTAGATAAACAAATGTAAAGGCTATAACACCCTCTTGCTTCAGACCCTAAACCAGACACCAGTTGGTGGGGGCACCAGGAAATGTTCCCATGGGCAGGGTATTCTACAGCTCATTTCTGAAGTACCTGGTACTAGTCATTAGGGCTGTGCGAAATTTCACTGGCAGTTTCATTTTAATGCCATTTTGACGCTGTTTCGACTCGTTTTGAGCTCGAAACAGCAACATCGAAATGAAACAGAGAGCTTCGAAACAGCCTCAAAATGAAACGAGGCAAGTCATAAAGTTCCAAAATTTTCGAAACATTTCAAGTTTCAAAGTTCAAGCTGGGCTTGCCTGCAGGGAAACAGGAACTAAAGGAGAGGGAGGGGGAAGAGGACTGCTCTCATTATTGACTGTGTAGCTGGCCTGTGACTGTCATCCTTTCCTGAGGTCTCTTCCAATCCCAGTGCTCTGGGGGAGGGATGGAAAAACTACATAAAAGGCAGCATTGTT